CCTCAAATCACCAAATCTCTTCAGCTCACAGGAGTGCTGTGGTTTATGAGTGACTAATGTAACAACTGAAAGAGTTCCACACTATCCAACTAAATGTAAAACTATTCAACTAAATGTAAATGTAAAATGCAATGTAAATGTGAAAAATGATACTTCATTTTAAAAGAAAATCTGCTACGCTTCCTTCAGAGGCTTTTTTTTCCTTGAAAGGTGGGGTCTTTTGTTCCCTTCTGGCATTTTTAAAAAACTACAAGGCTGAGATTTTTCCAATTTTTGGTCATTACAAATAACCAGACTCAGTAATTAGCTTTCTGTTGCTGAATAACTTTTCGTCCAGTAATCAACAGCCTTCTTTGTATACTCACCAAGATAGCCAAGAATGTCTTGCTGTCCATTGCTGGGAGAAGCCTCCTGCAATGAGTTCATGTGACATCATCCTACAGACCATGTCTGATGGCCATACACCAGTGTTTGAGCCTACCAGGCACTGGGGCACTATGGTAGACTTTATTAATATTCTGGATTACTTCTGCTTTATTTCTCACGAAATAACAGCATGACTTCTGTTGGCAACTGTGGGGTTTCTGTATTACTGTCTTTTGCCATGTATGGGGTATTCTTTTATCTTGCAAATAAAGTGATAAGCTTTTCTGCTGTAAGCATATTAGAAATCAGTGAAGCAATAAATGAATATATTTTCTATAGAAAGGCCTCAAATGGAGTTTTGGGAGTTGCTCTTTGAGAAAGTTTCAGACCAAACAAAGAACATCCAGAGCAGACCAGTAAGAATGATTACGAATCTGGAAAACATGAGTTTCATAGCATGAATTAATTTATTGGGAAGAGGAGATTGAGGGGAGGGGATGTGACAACAGTATTCAAATGTCTGAAAGATTCCTGTAAAGAGGGAAGAGAATGCTCTCTTCTCCAGGTACACCTGTCCTCCATTGCAATATGTGGTAGATACATGAAAAAGGGATAGGGTTAGTTCTGTTTATGAAAGTCAGAGGTGGGTGTTAAGAATATTTTAATAATTCTGAAGACAGTGAAACACTGATGCAGATTGTCTGGGGGATACATGGCATCTTTGTCACTGGAAGTTGTAAGATAACAACCAGACAAACAGTGGTCAGGAATGACCTCTGACGTTGTTCTGTGGCAGCAAGATGAACTAGGTGACACTGTGATGTCCTCCCAGGTCTTTTATAGTACTGTTTGACCTTACTTCAGGTGACTTTTGTTGCTGACTTGTAATGTATTAGAAAGATGTTGATATTTCATGTCACAAGCTCCTGAAAGCAGGTTGTTAGGCAAGAACCTTTACTTTCATTTTTATAAAGCAGAAGTGTCTAATACTTATTATTGCAAGGAAGAGATTAAAATAATGAACTCGGAACCTTCAGAAAAGGGCAAGGGCAAAGCAGCAAGAGTATATCTATCAACATCTCAGTATTTTTAAGACAACTTCATAATTGTCTAAATGTTTGGGGGATGCAATACTCTTGGCCTTAGCCTTAGCCTCATTTGTTCTCCTTGAATAATTTCTCATTATACTTTGCTGTCACTTTCTTTTCCAGCCCACATTTGTTAAGCACAAAGGTTTCACCTGTGAAATATCTTGTGTCTACTAATGCTTCCACTCCATGATTGCTTTAATCTTGCATTGCTGTCAACAGAGACGTGTATGCTCCCTCTATCCCCTCCATGCTCACACTCTCCTGTCAGCACAAAGGTTTGTGCTTTCAGGTGGTGAACTAGAGCCAAGAACTGATCCTGGTCTTAAACAGACTGGCAAAAAACCCCCCAAACACCAAACCAACCCCAAAACATTTTAACAGGGATCACTTCTCCAGTCTAGTTCACTGCAGGACCATAAAATTATATGTGTCAAGGGGTGTACAGGAATCTGAATGAGCAGGTTCCTGTCTGGCAAAGGTGGGAGAAGCCTTTTGAAAGGACAGTGCAAGACCTAAAATTGAGGAACATGTACTCAGGAAAAGTTGTCCTTTGCTCTTCTACTCCATGTTTGTTTAGCACTGCAGCTGCTTAATAGAGTACCAAAAGAAAATGCTTCTCAGCTTTTGCACAACTGCAGAGTCAACACAAGTGAGAGAAACAGTCTGTTCCTTCTCTGACTCAATATTCATCTGTGTAGAAATATAAAAAGGTAGAAATTTTATTCTTAACTGAGCTTTTGTAACCTCTTCCCTCAGTTTGCTGATGCAACAGCTAGGGAAAAAAAACCACCTTTTTTTTCCTGGTACTGTACAGAGTCTTCAAATCCACTATGAATAAATACAGATTCCTACCATGCAACTTTCTCAGATAGTTATTCTCCACGGTTCATTTAAGATGCTAAAGTTGTTCTTGAAATAAATATTTTGGAGAAGACATTGGACAAGGCTCTCTATGCGATGCTTTCTTTAAAAAAAAAAAAATTACTATTGCATTTTTGAGAGACATAGCTAATCCATTTTGGCCTGAATTTCTTTCCTTCACAAAAGCAAATCTCAATCCTGGTGCATAATTTATGATCTTGGCATCCAGCCCAAACATATGTACATACTGAAATCAGTTTTGCATCTGTTTAACTTCATGCACATGAGTAGTCTAATTGGATTTAGTCTCATGAAATGACTCATGCGAAATCAAGTGTTTGCAGAACAAGGGTTTCAGACAGTAGGGTTCTTCAGGGCAGTTGCTTCTACAGCTTTATATGGTGCCTAGCACATGAAATGGCTCTTTGATTATCTAGAAGCCCTCTGCATGCTGTATAGCTGTGGTGCAAGGTGAAACGAAGAAGTACAAAAGAACAAGTCTGGCAGTCTAGGTCAGATCTACTACTGCATAGCACTTGGACACAATTTCAATAATTGTAACAATTAATTAATTGTAACTTTCTTTTTTTAAAAATTTTCATCTGGGAACCTCTTCAGCATCAAAGAAAATCAGTCTTCTTATTCCTTCATAACAGGCTACCAGGCCGCAGGTGTCACACTTCTGGTAGCCATTGGCTGGTTAAATACTGTTGCTTATATATACTAGACACTCTTGATAAGTTACAGCCATCATCTCCTGTCAGTATGGAACTATATTCTTCTGGAGCCTAATAATTCAGTGGATTCAACATCTCCTGCAAGGAAGAGTTATCTGAATGGGCAGCAATGTAGATGTTCATCATCTTCCCAGAACAAAATACCAGTGTGTCAAGAAAAGAAACAAGTTTTTTTCCTGCTCTCCCAAGTCTTATCTTCCTATGCCATCTCATAACCTGCTAATCCTGAACCCTGGCTAATTTCTTGCCTCATAACTGGGCAGTCATAGGCTATAGGAAGAGAAGAGGTGATGCTGAGCTTGCTACTTATTGAAGGTGTTTGTATCTAGAGGCTGGATCTTCTGTTTTCTTTTGATGTTTTCTCATTCTCTTTCTGTCTGCTATAAGGGTCTAGTGAATGGAGAGTGGTCTAGAGAGTGAAGAGACTCAAGGAAGGGGATGAGAGAGGCTGCAAGTTCTGATGTTAGGAGCATTAAGGATTAATAAGTGGAACTCCAGGGAATTTGTACTGTGAGAATATAGTCTGGGGAGGATACATAAAAAATGGAAGGCTTGGAGTATGAGTGCTGTTAAGGCAAGGCAAGGAAACGTATAGGAGTGACTCCAAAACTGATGGTGTTACATAAGATGGAAATGAAAATAGGGAAAGAAAAAAAGAAGTTGGAGTAAGAATATAAAGCAAGAAGTATACCTTAAAGATGAATGGCCTTTACCTCCTACCTCACTGCCCAGCTACATTCTGTGGTTGGTGAAAACACCCTGAAATAAAGACAGTTTTAGGAAGCTCAGAGTGTAGATCAAGGCATGTGATTTTAAGTATTTGAAATGTATTTTTGATTGAGGCATTATGCTCCTGACTTCTGGTGACATTTAGGCAGGAGGCACCTAAAAAAAGTATGTGAAGTTCATCATGTAATACCTGATTCAGGACTCTCTGAAGTTAATAGACTACAGTATGCTTTGAAGCAAGAGAGGAAAACATTGAAATATTACAGGATTAAAATATTATAGAAGAAAAATTGTGCTCTGAATTATCTAAACGTGAATCTGATGGTTCTGGCGAAGATACTCACCGATATGTTTGTGTGACTGGGGGAATGCTATGATCTTAAAGTGTTAAGTTGTAGAAGGCTTTTTATTACTGATGTCTTTTTGTGGTCTGCAGTCTGAAGTGCATACAGAGGAAACAGGTAACTGAAGTCTTGATATTGCAAGGAAAAATGCACAGTATTGACTTTTGGTAATTGAAAACTTTTTGGTCCTACAAGTGGATACACTTTAATGAGATGGTCATCTGTTTTATCCAGCAAGCTGAATTTCAGCTCAGGGGAAAGTTCTGAATGCTGATATGCAAAGAGACAATGGTTTTGCTATATGATTCTCAGGAGATCATTCAAAATTTTAACAAACCTACACATCTCTAATTCATTCTGAAGTTTTGCAAGTGAAACCAGAACATAATCATCTCCATGTTTTGCATAACTTATTGTAGCTCTTGATTATTGATTGGATGAATATCAATGTTTCCTACTTAAATCCTCTTTGCCTTAAAATGTGCAATTTTTAATCCTTTACAGTTTTGTGCAAATCAATTACCCCTTATTTACATCTTGGCTAATACAAAGAAGTTGTTATTTTTAAGAAACTTCTGCATGCAGTGCTTAAACAAGGCTGTATGGCAAAGACCTCATGTTAACTGTATTTACCATAGGTAGTTCATTTGTTAATTGATTTACTGAATTTGCAGCTGGTCACTTTTTTGAAAGTACTGAAATTAATATTGTGAATTCTTCGCTCTTACAAGTATTATGAGCACTTTATGTTGAACAAAGAATAAAAAAAAATCATGGAATTCTTTAAATATTTATATATATAAAGCATTTTTTATGAGAAGACCTTATTTCCATGGTGAATTTTTACTAACATTCTTTTTGTCTGTTTTCAGTCCCCTGCACATAGCTATTCAAGCTATGACTCTGGCAAGAATGAGAGTGTAGGCAGAGGTGCTGAAGATCTGTCTCTGAACCGAGGAGATGAGGATGAGGATGACCATGATGAGCAGGAAGATCCTGAGAAGGTTAATGAATCAGATGGGGTAGAAGCTGAACGACTGAAAGCTTTTAACGTAAGTCCTCTTGCACTCGTTGTCTTGTTTACTTTTACTATTCCTTTTACTTTGTTATTTATGAGTAAGTTTGACAATTAAAGGCACATTAATTTAATTTGCAGGATTTATTTCAATTATTATTTTAATGCATATTAAACACTTGCCAACAGATGACAGATTTACTGTGTTTTATTTAGAATTTTAAGGCAGAATGCCATGTTTACCAGTGAGGCAAACAAAGCTTTGTTCTGTATGTGTGCATGTGCTCCTGTGTGTGTGGATGTGGCTGTGTGTATGTGCATGTTCACCCATTGAATGGAAAGGGGCTGTAGCTAGTTTATCAGAAGACCATTCTGGTGGTCAGCTGTTCTCTATTGCTTTCCCAACGTATGTAATTATGCATGAAAACACAAGCAATTGTTCAAACAAAGAAAAAGTGAGAGTCAGTTCAATAAAATGATTAGCAATCACAGCTTATTGTTAATAATGAAAGTTAAGTAGTGCCTATTTTCACAATCTGTTCTGGTTTATCTTACAAGTTCTGTATCCTATAGACTATTCTTTTCTTGTCTTTTTTTTTAATCAGCTTCCCCCCCGCCCCCCAATAACCCTTTAAAGAACTGTTTGCTTAATATTTCTGGCTTCCCATTACAAAGCTCTTCAGTGGATAGCAAAAATGTCTTCCTATCAGTAATCAAGACAGGAAGCTAGGAAGAGAAGAGAGCCGCCCTCCAAACCCATCTCCTCTGTCTCCCTCTTGCCAACAGATGTTTGTCAGGCTGTTTGTAGATGAAAACTTGGACCGAATGGTCCCAATCTCTAAGCAGCCCAAAGAAAAGATCCAGGCTATCATTGACTCATGCAGGCGACAATTCCCTGAGTATCAAGAGCGTGCCAGAAAACGCATACGTACTTACCTCAAGTCCTGCAGGCGGATGAAAAGAAGTGGTTTTGAGATGGTGAGTTTTGATTTAAAACCCAGCCCTAGTTTCCATCAAAACCCCATATGTAAATCCATGGCACTATTTTGTTTTCATCTTAGTGTCTTTTTTTTGTTTGTTTATTTTTTTGGTAATACCAGGTCAGAGGTTTCTTTTTCCCTCCTTCATTCTTCTGAATTTATTCCCGTTGTTCACTGGTTTAAAAATGCTTTGAGACACTAGAGTTCAGACGATGAACTAATATGGATGTATAGAAAAAGAAGAAGAAAGCAAGGCATAAGGAGGGAAACCAAATGATGGCATATATAGTGACTTATTTCCTACTTCAGGTTACACTTAGAGATTTTTGCCTGGAAAAGTCTTGCAGTAAGATGGATTTTTCTTTAAAATGCCTCTGCTAACTGGATTTCTATGAGCTCTCTAAAAATTAGATCCTGCTAGAGAAATTCTATACCCAAGAAAATGCCCAGTGTAGTAACATCACACTGGCAATGGTTTTGGCTTTGGGTTTTTTCCTTCTACATTTTAGACTATTACTTATCAGTAAAAGTTACTCCTTTGAAATCTTTCAGTTGATAGATAGGTGTGGAAAACACATTAAATGGTTTCAAAACACAGACATCAAGCTTACAGTTTGAGCATCCCAGTGGTTTAGTAATTGTAATTGAACCAAAACCCATGAAAATTATGATGGTATACAACTGTCAGTGTTTTCAGATATTAATATTTTAATATTACTCAGTAGCACAAGAATGGGTAAATAATAAGTCTTCTCACCAGTTGGCAGCTTTATTATCTCTAAAAAACTTTTGCATTTCCAAAACCCAGGAAAGTCAGAAGAAACTAGGTAGCTACACACCTTATGTTTGATGTGTCATCTTAGCTATCTCTCTGGCCTCTAGATGACAATAAAATCACCTCATCATTACAAATAGATATCATTTAGTGATTAAACATATCATTTTTTTTTAACGAATCATCTGCAAACCCATTGATTACATTAAAAAATTACTGGAGATGATTGAATTTTACTGTTTCTCTCTTTCTCTCTGTCTTTCTCTTTCCTGCAGTCTTTGCAGAATACTTATGATTTCCATATGTTGTTTAAGATGTTAGCTGACAGTTTTAAGAACAAAATATCAAGTTTATTTGTAGGATAAAAGCACTATCAGATAACACAAAAAGCAAAGACAGAAACTAAATTTTTGTATGTGTTTGTGATTCTAATTGACTGCATGTTTTTATTATTTGAAACATTGGGATAACACCACTTCTGAACAAAGGAAACACAGGTGAAGAGAGACAGGTAGAATAAAGGACATCTGTACAGATAAAAGTGCCAAAGATTGACTGGTGATGTACATGTCAGATTGTAGAGCCTTCCAAAATAAAGAAAAACAGAAAGTAAATATTTTCCATGATACACTAAGTAGTATCAAATTGCATCTACTCACTTTGGTTGAAAATAATTCAGCAACATCAAGTTCAGCTTTCACGATGCCAAATATTTTTATTTTGCTGTACTTTCAATTGAAAATACTTACAAAATTAGCCGATGCTAGCAAGTCTCCTCACTGTTCCAATTTATGGCCTCATTACTGTCATTATTCACACTGATGAGCACTTATGTAAACTGGCTCATTTTTTGTCATCTGAAAACATTGCACAACTGTTTTGCAATATGAATAAGGGGCTTACAGTCTGACCCATAAGAGCTAGGTTGTTGGCTTGACTTCAGCACACATTTGCAAATGTTACTTTCATATGAATAAAGGTTGCAGGATCAAATTTGTTCTTGGGATGGGAAAAGGAACAAAGGTTACCATGAACATGATCCAAATAAGCAATCTTTATAGTTCAGAAATACTCACTATTTTTATAATGTTCCACGACACTTTATGATGGGCTTTATTTCTTTTTAAACAAACAAATTACCCTCTAAAATATTGACTTTGCTGCCCATGAATTCAAGTGACAAGGCACTGGAGCTCATGCCAAAGATTTCAGCCCCCTTGGGCCTGAAGGGAAATCTGTCCTGCTTCTCTGTTCACAGGTAGGAACACGAGCCAAAGACTATCCGAAGTCTTTGGAGGAGCTCCCATTAACTTCCTAAGAAAATAAGTGGTGTTTTATGTTTATGTCTTGAATAATTCTGAAATGTAATATGTATCTATTTGATGTTTTTAATTATTTTCTGATTTCTGAATTACTGTGTCAGCACCTCCTGATTGTAAGTAGTTTGTTAAAATGCTACCATGGACAGAGGCACTTGACTGTATGATTATTTTAAATGTACTTACCATTTTGACAGTGGAAAAGAATCACTTTGTCTGGATAATAACATTTGTTCAAAACAATCATGAAGGGACATGCTGGTGTTGATTCGAATAAGGTGTTACCCTCAAGTATAGCAAAACGGGATAATGATCTCCTCAGGAGCAATAGTGCTACCGTTGTTATATTAAATAGGATGTCAGATAATAATCTCCACAGGAGATGTCTTTTGCTATAGACATATTAAACACAAGTTTTTCATTTTGTTCAGGTTCAGAATGCTACATTTTGAGCATCTAGTTGCAAGAGAAAAAGAGAATAATCTCATATATGGCATATGACAGTTCAGACTGTGTGTGGAGCAGTGCAGCTATCTACAGCGTCATATTGTAAAGTGAAGAGAAAATGTAAACACTAAGTTAAATTAGTGTAAGACTGCATGGTAAAGATGAAAAAGCATGCCTGAAGCCTGCTTCTGTCAGTTATTTGCCATTTGTAATCCAAACGACAGTTCTTGCTGTATAACAGGCCAGTTCTAGCTCTGAGGCAATGGGAAAGACTCAGTCTAATGAGTCTTCATATTGTTAATTAACCTGTTTCTCAGTATTAATATTTTTAAGGACTACTTATACTTATTCGCTTCTATCTGTTTCTAGTTATGACAGATAGTTGTCTGTGGACTCCAAGGCAGCTTGCATACCTTCTTGTTACAAATACTCCTTTGAGGAGTTCCCTTTCTACATTGGAAATGCTTTGTCCATTTGACTGTTCAGCTTGTAATTGTGCCTTTTTCATTCTGACACAAGCATACCCCTCAACAAGACACTGTCAAAGTTTTTCTCATTAGATTGTTTTTCTCCTCCCATTGTCTCTTGCTTATGGACTGTTGAGAATGTTCTCTTACTAAGTTCTACGATCTTGCTCAGAATCTTTCATTGGAAGGGAATTTTGTCAAGTCCTGAAATCACTGGCTTTTGGATGGGATCTCTAGGTTGTGCTTCCACCTGTGCTATGCTGTAGCACTTTGTGAACTTCTTAAAGTTCTTGATGTTCTTAAAGAAATTCTTTCTTTTTCTCTTAATTAGCCTATAAGCAAAAGAAAAAAAAATTACCGTCTCTTTCTCAAGGACTGATATTAATAAGAATTCCTTTATATACATTAAGTGATTTGTGACTTATATATGCTATACAAGAGGAATTTTCTCCCTGAAATGGTCAAATGACCTGTTTTGCTAATGTTTTTAAAATCTGTCCTTTAGATTTGTCCCAGCCTCTGTAGCTATAGAAAACTGCCAGTTAAAAAAAAGACAGTAGACAGCTGCTGAGGCTATGTGGTATGTATTCATTTAGTTACAGTCCAGAAAAATTTTAATGCTAGAAATAACCAAATGAGGATGAATTGACTTAATAATTACATTTTCTACTATCTGCTTCCTCCCATCTTCATGATCTCCTATCATCAGTCTCACTGCATTCAGTTTGAAACTTCATCTTACAGTATCTTTTTCACAGTTATGGCATATTTTCTATGTGCATCCCAATGCAAGAGCAAGGTCTTAAATTCTCATTCACAAAGAGATTCTTCCTTTTGTTTAAGCAAAAGTAAACCCTCCTTCCTAGGCAGTACTGTAATACAAAGCAATAGTATCAAAGAGGAAAGTGTTCTTATATATTGGAGAGAAAAGGCTAGTTATAAATGCTTTTCATTGTCCGGAGACAAGTTTGCATGTGTCAAAGAAGAGTCACACTATGCCTGAAGACAGTTCCTCAGTTAGATCCCAGTGTTGTTCATCCCAGCTCCTTCTGTCCTATTGCCAGCCTCAATAACAAATAACTAAGCTCTGTATCTTCACTGCTTCTGTCATTTGGTTGTGCCAATTGGCTGTAAGAGGTGTTTTAATGATTTGCAACTGTGCACATGTTGATCGAGGTGTTTTAAATGTGTCTAGTGGCTTGGAGTGCTTCTATATTGTGATTGAGCAACTTTGGTGGGGACTGGTTTGCAGAATGGGGTATGTTTTCTGAAATCTGCCTCGTTAAGATTTCTCGGGATAGGTACCTAGCCTCTGTTTTTAAGTTTTAGCTTTACAGAGAGGAAGCTTTCATTATTTACTGAATTTAATGCTGAATAGTCCAGCTGCCCTTGCAGTCACATGGCTTTTCAGTCCTCCAGGCCTTTTATGGCTGGAAAGGTCATAAATGTTTTCAGGAAGGTGAGGGTCTGTGGATACAGGGATGCATACATAATCTTGACTAATAAGCTGGGAAGCATTAAGAAAATTATCACAAGAACAGTTACATGAAGATCTACAAATAATAATAGAGTTGTTGCTTTGTACTATACCCCAGACTGTTGACTGGTCACTTCCCTTTCTAAGCATCTCACCCTTGTTTGACAGTGGTTCCCTTATGTAAGTCTGATGAGCAACATAGTTGAAAAAGGGCAAAGCTACTCTCTTACAAACTTTGACTTTTTCCATTAGGTCTCGCATGTCCTTAAAATAAAATTCCCTAAGGCTCTTAAATATCTTTTTCCCCCCACAGAACAGTTCAGTGAATACTTATGTGATTTTTAAGAACTGCCTTTTAAATCTGTCTCAGATACCTTCTTCTTTTCAATAACTTTTGCAAGTATGGGCAATTTTGGAAAAGTGAGTGGTGGAAGAATTTACACTTTTTCCAGTAGCCTTGGAAAATGTGAAGAAGTTAGCTTTGAAAAAGAACGAAAACTAAAAATTGAAAAA